TGGCGAACTTTGATTTGAAATGCCGGACCATCATGTACGTTATCGACTTATCGTTTGGGATAAACTGTCATGACCAAATTCGCTGGTAAAAGTTTTAAGGGGTCAGTTGCAGTCCGACAATCAAAGCTCTGGATGCTCCCTCAAAATCGTTCCATTGACGTGATAAATATTTTTTGGGACCCCCCTACGTGAAACAAATCTTGAAAATGTCTCTAGAAAAATGGTGGTCTACAAGCTGATCGAAAAATATGTATATTTAAAATTATTAAAATTAGATATAACATTTGTTTGGCAAGATTTTTCTTTAAGGCGACAACCCCTAGAAATGGGCGTGGCAATTGCAGGACTAAAATTAGCCAAACCGCAGATTTTATTGCGGATTTCGGCAGAATATCGCTTCGTTAACAATATTTGTTCCACAACTTTTTCAATCCATATAGATATTCTGGCGAAATCCATAATAAAGTCTAAATTTTTCAACTTTGGTTTTAATATAGCCACGCCCATTTCTAGAATATTCTTTAATTGAAAAAGTTGTGGAATAAATGTTGTTAACGATGCGATATTTCCCCGAAATCCGTTTTTTCAAGTTGCTAAAAATCCCGTTGATTTTTGATAATTTTTTTTTTTTTTACTGACGGTCTCACGCTTTTTATTCCATACAAAATTTGTTCGATTTTTTTTTATATGGAAAAAAAGTGTGAGCAAAAAAAAATTATGAAAAAGCAAAACAAAATTTGCACTTTAATTACTGAAATTTTTTCTAAAAATTCGTATGGTTTTTTAGATAATGAGCTATACTTTCATAAAAAAAATTTTAAGAATTAATAAACAAAAGAAAGATAACGAAATTATGTCAGAATGTTGTATTCCTATTTTTTTTTCACGCCACTGTAGCTTAGACAACATTGTATCATCTTAATGCTTCTTCTTCTATTCAGCTAATTTATCGACACTACCTACATACATACATACATAGCGGACGCCGTCTTCAAAATATTCACAACTCAAAATAATACGTTTGTCAGAAAATGCGAAGAATTATTTCTTCGTAGCACATGATAATCATATGGGCAAGGGCGACTTTACCTTTGGGGTTTTTTCTTAACAAATTATAACAAAAATTTGCTCCAGCTTTTGCTGAAAGATAATTTAAAGCTCTGTAGCGCATAATTTCAAAAATGCCAAATTTTGAGTTGTGACTTTTTTAAAAACAGTGTGCGATATGTATGCCAGTTTGTCGTATCTATGTTTATTACATCGCATTACCACTCCTCAGATGGTTTCTTTATAATTCTTCGGAATACCTCACAACTCACCTCGCACTCGTTCCCGCTTTTTGCGGTCTGCTCATTTCCTATTTTTATAATACATTAACTTTTTATGCTCTTCCTTATTTGTTCATCTGAATTTTACTGCATTTACTGTCATTTCTACGCACTCTTATTAGTCACATTCTCATGTTTATGCCGTCTGTCTGCAACTCCATAGGTGGCGAACGTGGGGAGCTGAGAATAGCTGAGAGAGTTGGATAGCCAGCCCTAGGGGCTAGTATATTAGCAACATATGTTGTTTGCATTGTTCACAGCTAGCATGCAACCGCAACAATAACAACAAAACACCAAGAGCTTTTTATGTTATTGGTTTTTTCTTTTTCAACTAGCTCTTGCTTGCTTGCTGCTGCGCCGCTGTCGATTGCAGCGGAAATGGAAAATGGCAAGCAGCAGCAACAGCAGCAACTTGGTGGCTAACAGCGGCAACAGCAGCTATAATTTTTATGATTTCATTTTACGGTATTAGTTGCCACATATAGAATGTGCATATGTGTATATGCTTGCAACCAAATGTGCAACCAGGCTGCCAGCAAATAACTCAGCCAACTAAACAGTAGCTGTGAATGTTGCATGCGGCCAGCCAGCAACATTGTTGTTTTATGACATAAGATTACTGCAACAAAAGAGAGATAAACATCTTGAAAAAATATGAGCTATTATTTTTCTCGAAATTGCCTAAAAATTTGTGTGATTAGCGGTATTAGTAGAGTGTGTGCACATAAATATAACCTACATGATCTTTGTATAGATTGTCCATAATTTTGTACCAGTAATATGCTTTTAATGAGTTTGAATTTATTCTCCTTTCATTGGCTAAGTATAGTGATAAAAAAAGGAATGTCGACTGACTAACAAGGCAATTCTGGCTAAGATATGTGCATAGTTGCAACTTGCAAGTCATTTTCAAGGTAATTGAAAGACATTAGGCAAGATTGTTTGAAAGATTTTCTTTATTCTCGCACGAAAGTCTTACCAAAAAAAAAGCTCCCTTGCTAACTTACATGGTGAAAAGCACTTTTGGCATAAAGCACTTGCGCATGTTCCAAATTGTGATGAATGTATTTATGTACATACATATATCATTTTGCTAGCTCTGCACAGTGGGACCTCCCCATATAAGCTGCGGCCAAAAGTAGTAGTCGTACTAGAAATTCGCCGAAATTTCGTACATGCGCTATTCGGCACTTAGGAATGAAGAAATTGGAAAATTATAAAATTCAACGCGCTACCACGCCCACAGCTCTTGTGGGCGGAAATAGTAAATGTTATCCGATTTTGATAAAATTCAGTGCATGTGCTGGTATTAACGCGAAAATCATAAATCTGAAACAACGTTAAAATTGGTTTACATTATCGTCCACTAATTCTAGAAAAATAGGCGCAAAAAAAAAAAATAATGGAATTCGGTGTGCCTCGTTTAAGCCAAAATTTTCCAACTTGGAAGATAAACGTCCACCTCCTGCACAACTTTTTTGGCTCCACGTACTTAATTATATGGATTTCGCAGAAAATTAATAGATACATTTATTTTATTTCTAAAAAAAAAATGAAGAATAGAAGCTGAACTCGCAGTTCCTCGCAGCTGAAACTATTTGAGATATGACGCCAACATTTAATGTTTACTTGTCCTAAGTATAATTTACATAGCTTGCTTCCTAGGTCCTAGGCGGCCTATCTTTTTTTTATAATTTTTGGACTTTTTGGTTAAAAAAAATTATATTTTTATTTAGTAATTAATTAATTATCATTTTAATTTCATATAATTTTTTGGAACTGATTTTATTTTTTTATTTGGCGAATCAAATATTATTTTTTCGTTTTTTAATTTAATTTCTGTTCTGTTTTAGCCATTATTTTTTTGGAAAGCAAGACATATACTTACTTTTTTATTCCATAAAAATTTCAATATTAATTTTTTTCCTTGTTTTTAATTTAATTTCTTTTTAATAATTTTTTTTTTGTTTTTTAAAATGAAAAAATTTTTATTTTTATTTAATTTCATTTTTAACACACTTATTGCTAAAAGACAACAGGAAAACTCTAAGACCTCCTCGTTAGCCGATCTTTCATTGAGTCTTTCGAATGGCAGAAAAGAGGTTTCAAGATATAAGTACATAAATAGTTGCAAGGATTGACAATTGTCTTACGAAAGACTCTTCTGGTAATCGGAGCTATTGCTAAAACCATTGGAGGTTCCGGATTTACGTCGGCCCCAAAATTCGCAGCACCGATGTCTGTTATCGCCTTCTGCAGCAGTGCCAGCAGCTCCACATGTTACTTAGGCTGAAGGTGGTTTTTGACGCCTCCATATGAACCAGTCTTGGTTTTCGTTGTTATCACATGGTGATTGCTCTGCGAAGCGAACTCGATTCATTTCCCAGTGACTGTCGCAACCTTTTTGACAGATATCCAGTGTTCGCATACTAGCGACCAAGGCACCCCCCTGGCCATATATCCATCGGTTAGGATTATTTGTGGAGAGCAAGTAGCAGCGCAGTGAACCGACTGAGCATTGGTATTGACCAAAGTTCGATACAATTAGCTAGACCGACTCTTAACAATGTACCGCCTCCCCGGATTGCTCTCTCATCTGCCCGGCTACCATCAGACAGAGATGCCCATTGCTATAATCAAAAGTGAAGAACGGCGATGTCCTCTCAGCTCACGGCCTACATTCAACATATGTTTATTAAGGTGGTTCTTAAAAAATATCAACTCATGTAGCACCCCTTTATTTTGTTCTACGTGCCAAATGAAGACTTCTACAAAAGTCTTAAAATTAAAACCAAATTAGGGGTCCTCGGCTTTGAAAAAAATAAATTTTTTTAATCGAAAAAGTTCCACAAAATTTTGATTTTGACCTGCGAGTTTATGAATTTGTTGAACAGGTTTCAATAATATCGAGCCCTAACCGCCAAAATAACGTAAGCGACATTTTTTTTTCAAAATTTTCTTTTTGATGCAGAAATATTCCTAGAGCATCTAGATGCATTTCTGCATCAAAAAGAAAATTTTGAAAAAAATGTCGCTTACGTTATTTTGGCGGTTAGGGCTCGATATGTTATTTTACCAGATTGAATATGAATATGAAAAAATTTTTCCAACTCAAAAGAAATTAAATTTTTTCAAAACCGTGGGATCTAAAGATTTGTTAAAAATTTTGAAATTTTCCTGAATGTTTTTATTTTGCACGTAGAAAAAAAATAAAGCGGTGCACGATATAAAATTCAGATGTTGTTATTGTAAGGACCACCCTAATATTTATGTACACTGGTTCAAATGTACTCTGGTTAAAAAATAAAGCGGTGGTCCATATAAAATTCAGATGTTGTTATTGTAAGGTACCACCCTAATGTTTATGTACACTGATTTATAAAATAATTATTGAAATCTTGATTATAAATGAAAAATTTATAAAAATAATATAAAATGTTGGTGATATTTTGCCTATATACCGTTATGAACACCATAATGACTTCTCTCTTACTGGTGAACTAAATGACCAATGTTTAAAAGTACAGATTTGTAAGGTCTTCAAATTAAAATTTCACTCAAAGGTGCTGTGTATTTAATATCTATCGCAACTTTTAATAAAACATTTCCACTTCCTATTCACAAATTTCCCAAAACAAACTAACAAAATTTCATTTTCCTTTCTATTTGTAGCAAAAAACTGAGCTGAGTCCACCCGCACATCAAACACACAACACCGACACGAATAGTGGCGCGCAAAGCGGGAGCAACGGCAGTGGCGGTGCTAGCAATAACAGTCTCAACTCCGCCTCATCAGGTATAACATCCGCTTCAATATCCGCCTCAATCGCCTCTTCAACGGCTGCAGCAACACTCTCCTCCTCCACCACCGCCTCGCACAAATACGCGCTATCATCATCAGATGCTAAAAGTGCTGGCGCAACCAATCTAAGCACCAGCAATGTCATCTCGTCCGCGCCGAGTGCGCACAAATCCGGCTCCGGCAGTGGCGGCGGCGGCGGCAGCAACAGTAACAACAACAATAACGGTGGCAATGTAACCAACCAAATGGGTGGCGGTGGCAACAGTTACACTAACGCCAAGGAACAACATCATCGCGATGACCGTTATACGTCACAAGCGCAAGCGAATTGTGGGGCGAATACTGCCGCCGCAGCCGCCAATGCAGCTAACGCGGCAGCCAATGCGCCCAGCCTATACGTATCTGTGCCACTCTCCACCGCCAATGTACCTGGAATCAATTTACCAACAAATAGCGTAGCGAGTGGTGCGACAGGTGAGCGTTGGCATGCCAAATTTGTATTCGATTCCTGCACAAATTTTACAGTTTTTTAATGAATTTTTACGTGCCCATTTCATTTTAGATCACCATGCGCCACCCTCGCAATCAACGCGTGCCGCAGCGGCAGCAATCAGCCAGCAGCAGCAGCAGCAACAACATCAAGGCGGTGGTGCTACATCGATTTCCATGAGCGGCAGCATGTTAGGTGCGCATGCGAATGCCTCGTCAACGCCACTGGGTGGCGTCGGTAGCATCGGCGGTGGTAGTGGCAGTGGTAGTGGACTGCTGGAGCGACAATCACCACGGCATCATCATCAACCGCCAGCGCTTTCCGAGCATCATAGCAATAGTAATAGTAGTTACTTTGCTAACTCGCCCGCTGGCATGTCGGCCGCAACGCATAGCAGCGTCATACATCAGAGCGGTAAATCGCCATCGGGTGGTAGCATGATGCTGAGTGCGACCAGTAATCCCAATTTGATGGCCACTACAACGGATACTGGCAGCCTGAAAATTAGTTATGAGAAGCAAACAACGCGTGTCAGTCAATTGCAAGAGCAGGAAACAGCACCAGTGCGAAGGAGCAGGTGAGTGTGATCGAAAACAAGGACGAACAAGTGTT